CCCCCCCGGCACCAAGAATACAGTGCATCACTTACCCCAGACTGAGAGTTCCTATCTACACATTGTGGCTAACAGCCACTGATGAACTTCTGCTCCATATGCTTATCTAATTCCCTCTTGAAGCTGTCCATGCTTGTAGCCACCACCACCTCCTGTGGCAGTGACTTCCATGTGTTAATCACTCTTTGGGTGAAAGAAGTACTTCCTTTTATCTGTTCTAACCCAACTGCTCAGTTCTTGTATTGTGAGAAAGGGAGAAAAGTACTTCTTTCTCTACCTGCTCTGTCCTATGCATAATCTCATAAACCTCGATCATGTCACCCCTCAGCCATTGTTTCTCCAAGCTAAAGAGCCCCAAGCGCTTTAACCTTTCTTCATAGGGAAAGTGTTCCAACCCTTTTCTGTACTTTTCCCAATGCTATAATATCCTTTTTGAGGTGTGGCCAGAACTGTACACAGTACTCCAAATGAGGTCGCACCATTGATTTATACAGAGGTGTTAAGATACTGGCTGATTTGTTTTCAATTCCCTTCCTAATAATCCCCAGCATAGTGTTGGCCTTTTTTATTGCAGTCGCACACTGTCTAGATATTTTCATTGAGTTATCTACTACGACTCCAAGATCTCTCTCTTGGTCAGTCTCTGCCAGTTCGGACCCCCTCAATGTGTATTTATATTTAGGATTTTTGGCTCCAATGTACATCACTTTACTGGACTCTTACTCTTTTCAGCCGCTACAGACAGACTAACATGGCTACCCATCTTGTTCTGCTTCTTCATCTGACTGTGAAAGGGTTGTGGGCTGAGTCTGATTAACAGCTGTGTTCAATATTTAAGTGTTTGGGGAAGTTTACTGTAGGAATAAATGTAGAAGCAGTCAGAGGGGCAGCTTGTGCTTTCATTAGCCCTCCGGTGGAACATTCCACACTTCACGTACTTATTGGCCACGGTCACACATGCCAGAAAATGTGTGTGTGGGGGGAGTTGTGGCTATTTGCAGCAGCGCAATTAGCTGCACGACAACGTGATCAGATGCGTCAGCGGCAACCCACAGTTCCGGCCTTTGGCATGTGCGCAGCAACAAAGACGGCCGGAGGGAAAAGCTGCGTCGGCGTGATCACACCAAGGGAGTCCAGAAGCAGTCCATGGCAAACCGTTTGCTACTACCTTCGAGGAGGTATTTTTTTATTGCGCATTTTCGGCGGCATGCCACGGGTTGGCCACGGGTGCGCTCCACTTGCCAGATGTTGTGGTGTGATCGCACCTGGAAAATCCGCCATCCAATCGTGGCTCTCCCGCGGCAAATTCGCCATGTGAGCGGGGCCATACTTTGTTTTCCAGGAGTTTAGAGTGTGACAAAGCATATTGCACGTGCCATGTGCTGTCTGAAGAAGAGGGTGTCTGCTGTGAAGCTGGGTGCTTGGCAAGCTGCATGGGGGCAGGAAGGAGGGAGTGGGCTCTGGGTGGGCTTCCTTACCTACCATTCAGCAGTGGAGTCTGTAATTGCTGAGTGGAAAGAGAGGAGGGAAGAGAACCAGGCAAAGGAGAAGGCCCAGCCTAATACTCGCTCACTCCTCTCCATTCTCCCATGCAGAGAACATTGATGCCTCTTCTCCTCAAACCAAAGGCAGGATTACACTGCAAGTAATCTGAGTAATTTAGGTGGTCAAGATGTTAAATGTTTGGGGGGGGGGGAGCAATACTGTTGAACCAATTCTACTCAGCATAGGAATATGATTATAGTATTTAAAATGAAGGCATCTTCCTCCTCCTGCCTTGTACTTGCTATTTTATTTACTAAATATTCAGCTTTTAGTCCTAAAAGCAGTACCTTTTTCCAGCTCTTTTTACTGTCAAAAAGATTTTCATTATCTATTTCCATGCATAGCAAAATAATATTTTTCATTCATTCAGCAATAGCGTCCTCTTAAGTAAAAATGATAATTCCAGTGGAGCAGAAAGACAAGTTTGACTGAACATATTTATTTTTTGCTATAGTCTAAAACATAGGTTTCCCTTGCTCGAAAGCCAGTGGAATCCAACTCTAGGGATGCGGTGTTCATTTCTGTTTCCAAGCGAAGAGCCAGCACTGTCCAAACATGTTTCCGTGGTCATGTGGCCGGCATGACTAGACGCTGAGGCGCACGAAATGCAGTTACCTTCCCACCGTAGTGGTACCTATTTATCTACTTGCAATTTCTTGCTTTTGAACTGCTAGGTTGGCAGGAGCTGGGACCAGAGACGGGAGCTCACTCTGTCATGTGGCACTCGGGGCTCGAACTGCTGAACTACCGACCTTCTGGTCAGCAGTTCAGCGTCTTAACCACTTGAGCCACTCCAGCAGTCTAAAACATACCCACGAATATTAAATGTTTAGAGGCTGAGAAGGTATGTAGAGTAGCATCTTTAAAAAGACAGATCTTTTATTTGCCTATAGAGATGCTGACAGCAAAATACACACACAGCATGGGCCACACCAGTAGCCAAACAAATATGGGCAAAAGGCCTATGGTGCAAGAAACAGAATCTTCATTGGAAAATAATAGGTAAAAAGCATTTTTATATTCCAGTCCCTATGCAATATAATTAAAAGCTTGATAAAATAAAAGTATTTGCTTGGCACCTTGATTTCCATCACATATTAGGCTTTATAAGTAATAAAGGCCTGCCTGGACATAAAGGCAGCATAAAAGTTTAAAATAATATTGATAAAGCAGTTCTCAGGCTCAGAGCAAACTGTAAAACAGATAAAAAGATGGATCCCCTTAGTTAAAAGTCTGAGTAAAATAGGGTTGCCAGCCTCCAGGTGGGGCCTGGGGATCTCCCGGTTTTACCACTGATCCCCAGCCGACAGAGATCAGCTGCTTTGAAGGGTGGGCTCTATGGCATTGTACTATGCTGAGGCCCCTCCCCTCCCCAAACCACGCCCTCTCCTGGCTCCACCCTCAAAGTCTCCAGGTATTTTCCAACCCAGGCTTGGCAACCCTAGAGTAAAATGAAATGCTTTCGGCCAGGCACCTAAAGGAAAGTAGGGTAGGCATCTGGTGAACATCAAGGGGGATGGAAATCCAAAAGTGGAGTGCTGCTACCGAAAAAGATTTGTTGCTGGTCACCCAACTGGTTCACCTCTCCAGGTGAGTCCACAGAGAGCAGTTCTTCAGAAGAGGCTCTTAACGGTTGTGGTGGACTATAGAGTTTTACAGTATGGTGTTACATTAGTCAGTAGATGGTGTTACAGTAGTCCAATCTATATGTAATCAGTACATGGGTTACTGTGGTCAAATATATTGTAAATAAAATTAATTTTGTTACAAGTTTTATGAAATAAATAAAATACTTTTTTTGTTTGTAGGTGTTCTTACTTATTGGCAAAGATTGTCCATTTCTTCTAAGAGACCTACTTGCATCTTGGGAACTTTCCACAATATTTGGGCAATCAGTGGTGAGTGCTTGGTTTTTGAAATCTGTATTGCTTATAAACAAAGCTTTCTGTTTTATCCAATAGTGGGATTTCAAGAATATCAGTATTCGCAGGCGTATTGTAGTTCATTTTTGATCCATAGGGATCCACAAATTGCAGAGGGGTCCATGAATTTTGGCTAGACCTGGTAACCAAGCATTGGTTTTTTGTTTACTTGATCTGCAAAAGCAAAGTGAGGGACTCTCCTGGAAACGTCCCACTGAATAGACCTGGGTAGGATTCTGAGTAAACCTGATAAGAAAGTGCGTTTCAGGAAAGAGACGGTGACAGGTATGTGCATCCATAGGAGTCCTCCAAGGCTTTGACATGAATGCTAAGGCCCTATATAAGAAGCAGCCTTCAGCTATTAAAATGTATTACTCTTGTGGCAGAGTATAGCAGAGGCTTTCTTTATAACTTGAAAAAATGGCGCTCATTTTTGTAAACCTTTTTCGTTCTTACATGCCACAGATAACCAGGCAAGTGACTAGTAGAGAGTTAGTACAATAAAAGTATTGTTGTACTTATTCTTGCTACATGACATGACTCTAGAGCAGGGGAGAGCAATAGTCCAAATGACAATAGCAGGTGTGATACGGTTTGGTGTGACATGCAGAGGGGGAGTAGGCATAGAGAAATCAGCATTGGTAATGAGATAGGAAACCTAGCTTTCTATCCAGCTGGATGCATTGTCTAGAGAGCGTCATTATCAGTTGCAGTTCAGCTAATGTCATTCAGCATCTGCAATCACTCCACTTCCCAATATATAGGACAGATGGACTCACATTCTAACTGTATCTGAGAAAGTGAGCAGTGACTCATGAAAACCCATACTCTGCCATAAATTTTGTTAGTCTTTAAGGTGCTACTGGACGCTTGCTCTTTTCTACTGCTGTTAGTCAATCAGGCTATCCATCTTGGAGGATCCTTCTAGTGTATAATGGAACTTTGTTATTGTTTTTACTAGGGGCTCCTCAGAAGTGGAGAATTGCTTAAGTACCCCCCTCTCCCAGACTTGTAGAAAGATGAATTTCCCCTGAACATTTTGCAATGCCTCAGTTCCTGTTAAGAATACCTAACCAATGCACGTTCACTGAGGCCAGGACAAGCAGATGTGTTGGAATATACAAGTTCTATAAGTGCGCCACCTTGAAGATGATCAGAAGAACAGTTGAAAGACTGCTAGTTAGCATAGCTAGATTAGGAACTTCTCACAATTTCAAATTGTGTCCTTCCTGTCTCCTGATTGGCTCTTTGGAGACTTCCTGCTCCAACTGAGCCCTCCTCCTTCATTCGTCTCTCTCACAGCTAGGGCTGCCAAATCCCCCCAGGGGGCGGATTTCCCCCCGCTTTGGAGGCCCGATTTCCACCCCCGCGGAATCGGGCCCCGGGGAAACCCCACCCCCGCGTGCACGTCACCCGGATATGACGTCGCACGCTGGGGGCGGGGCCACAGCCATTTGAGGGGAAAACTCTATGTTCTCCCCTCAAATGGCTGTGGCCCCGCCCCCAGTGTGCCCGGTATCATGACGTCACATCTGGGTGATGTAGATGCGGCGCGCGCTTTGCGCGCACACACACCGGGAGCTGCCCAGGAGTCCCCCGCCAAGGAGGTGAGTGCCATTTGGCAACCCTACTCACAGCAGTTAGTCAATCAGTTAAGCCTCTCTTCTTCTCTGTTCTATCGGAGTTTATTTCTTCTTCAATAAACCAAGTTATTTTCTTTAAACAGTTGGTGCTCCATTCCTCTGCATGTTTAAACTCTGCCAACATTGTTACCTTAGCATTGCTAGCAACTAGGTTTACAAAACTGTAATGATATAATCAGTTCTTACATGTGCTTGGTAGAGGGAATGCAAATGATGGAGATATTAATAATATATATTTGTAATATCAGTTTGTTTTTCACTTTTGACAAATATTTTATATCATATGAACATTTTAGTTTCCATATATGGCTATCCTGTGCATGGCCTACACATCTGGGGCAACCCACTGAACTCAATGGTCTTACTCCTAAATAAACATGCATAGAATTATGTTTATCTCAATTTGTAAATATATGACCATGAACACATGGGTATGAGCTTGTAATTACTAAATAGGTTCCATAAATTTGAAAACTGTACCAAATGCATCTCTTTCAGACAAATGCAAACCTCAATTTCTTAGCAGTAGAAATGGGTCAGAGTTTATGTAAATACTTATTATAGTTGTGCTTTATCCAAATTAGATGGATGTCCTGAGAGTATTCATTGGGTCTCCAGATGGTCTAAATCTTCGCAATATTTTGTGGCATGGATTTGCATCCCCTCAAGAAATTCCTACAAAGTAAGGGTTCACATTAAATGAATTATGTTTTCTTCTCCATATCTTTTATAGTAGGCATGTTGACACAGTAAACTGGTTTTAAAAATGCTGTATTTGCCTGCAGTTCTACATATAGGCAGGCAGTTTATATCACATTAAACCCAATGATGTTTAAGCAGCTTAAATTAGTGTGGATTTGCAGCCTTAAGTGCATTTCTGAAATGCTTTCCTTCATTGCTTCCCTTTTTGGCTTTAACTGAAATACTCATCAGTTAAAACAGACAAACTGGCAATTTGTTTATTATATTTCCACCCTTCTTTGGAGGCATCTAGATCAGGGCGGAACGGCAGTGCTGTTGTTGTTAGACCTGTTGGCGGCGTTTGACACAGTCGACCATCAGCTACTGATCCACCGCCTTGCCGACATTGGGGACAAAGGGTGGCACTGGGTGAACAGCTATCCCAAAGACACCCACTGGTTTGTGGAGTGCCCCAAGGGACAGTGCTGTCCCCAATGCTCTTTAACATCTATATGCGCCCCCTTGCCCAGATTGCCCATAGGCATGGGCTGGGATGTCACCAGTACGCAGATGACACCCAGCTCTATCTGTTGTTGGGCAGTCAGTCTGACACCAAACTGGAAGATCTGGACCAGGCGTTATAAGCTGTGGCTGGTTGGTTTAGGCTGAGCCAACTGAAATGGAATCCGACGAAGACGGAGGTCCTGTGCCTGGGTCGGAATGGGCCAGGGTTAGGGATCCTGCTCCCGACCTTCGATGGGGCACCATTGGTGCCAGCGCTGGAGGTTAGGAGTTCGGGAGTGCTCCTGGATGCCTCCTTAACTATGGAGGCCCAGGTAGCAGCCACTGCCAAATCGACCTTTTACCATCTTTGACTGATCAGGCAGTTGGTTCCCTTTCTCAAACGTAACGACCTGGCAACATTGAACCATGCGATGCTCACCTCAAGATTCGACTACTGTAATGCTCTCTACATGGGGCTGCCCTTGTCTCAAATCAGGAAGCTGCAGCTGGTGAAAAATGTTGCGGCCAGGCTTTTGATGGGGCTCTCTAGATAGGAACACATACAGCCTGTGCTGGAGGCATTGCACTGGCTCCCAATAGCATACCGGATTCGTTTCAAGCTGCTGGTTCTTACCTTAAAAACCCTATATGATCAGGGACCTACATACCTGAGGGACCGCCTTTCCCTGCATGTTCCCCAGAGAGCACTGCGGTCAGGGGCTCAGAACCGGCTGGCTCTCCCAGGACTTAAGGAAGCTAGGCTGTCGACGACCAGGACCAGGGCTTTCTCAGTGGAGGCCCCCTCCTGGTGGAATGAGCTCCCGGAGGAGATCAGGGCCCTGCGGGATCTTTTACAGTCCCACAGGGCCTGTAAAACGGAGCTCTTCCACCAGGATTTTGGGTGCCGCCACCATCACCAATGAAGAATATTGGATGGTTGAATGGGAGAGGGCCCTGGATTCTGGAAATTACCACCAACTGCCTAAAGAACTGCCTGCTAGGACAATAAAAATGAACACTGTGAGCTGACTGCAAGCTGAGAACTTTGAATAATGGCTGCTACCATCATATGAACGACGACTACTAGCACTTTATTATGGTTTTAGAACTGTTTTAATCGTAATTTATGTAATTCATCTGTTTTTATGTAAGCCGCCCTGAGCCGGCCTTGGCTGGGAGGGCGGGGTAGAAATTCAATAAATAAATAAATACATAAATACATAAATGTATTGATTTTATGTAAACTGCCTTGAGCTGTACTCGGCTGGGAGGGCTGGGTAGATATCCAATAAATAAATAAATAAATAATAAAGGTGCCACTGGACTCAAACTTTGTTCAGATAACAGCTGTCTGACTACTTGAGGTATCATAGACCAGAGAGATGAGAGCTCTTGTGTATCCCCCCCCCCGAAATGATTCTTTAAATTCATATGGCCAATGACTAAAACAGATATTGAGCTGATATTAATATGGTATGATAATTAGGTGCATTTATGCTCCATTAATTTAATTTTTTGAAGAAAAAGGCTCTAATAGTGATGAAGGAGAGCAGGCCAGTAGTCAGGATCTGGGATGGGGAAGACTGTGAGACATTTAGCCAATGACCTATTACTGTTGTTAAAAACACATATATTTTTGTCTTAAAACAAAAAATTCTGAGAACTAACAAAATAAAAAAGCACACAGAAAGGTATAAATAAGCAGCATGGAAACCAACCTTTCCTGGTATTTGGTTTTCTTGTATAGGTGACCATTACTAGAGTTCGGCTTTTAAAAAAAAATAGTGACTGGGAAACTTTTAGAAATTTGCAAAGCAATACTGCCTCACAAATGTTGTTACTGGAGAATGTTTCAGTGCCAGGGTGTCAAACATAAGGCCTGGGGGCCAGAATCGGCCTGTCCGGGGCTCTTACCCACCCCTCAAGCAACTGGTATGTATAGAAATGTAAGGTACTCCCCCTTTATTGGGGCTTTTATGGGTTCCCCAGTAAAACAATTGATTTCACTGCTAGGAATCAATTGATTTTGTTTATATTTAGAATAAAAAATAATATTGTTAATTGGGTTTGCCTGTGTCCTTTTTAAAGTTTATATCTCTGGTACATGGCATTACATTTTATGGCACACGTGGCCTGCCCTAACAAAGCGACATTTATGTCAGATCCGGCCCTCGTAACAAATGAGTTTGACACCTCTGTTTTAGTGTATGTTTGTGTGTAGCCATATATATTGTTAATCTTATTATATGTCATTTTCCCTAGATATTCTTCTATGCTGGTTCTTTTAACTGTAGGACTGGGGCAACTTTTATCCAATTATCTTCTGCAAACTCAGTCTGATTTAGTCCATCGACCTTATGGATTGTTCACAAACCTAAAAGAGTTGCATGTTTTTCCAGGTATGAACATTATGGCTGGCTGTTAGAGGTAATTTAATGTTATCAATTATACTTTTTTGTTTTTGTTTATATACACTTGTTCAGATACTCATATCAATGCAAAAATTTGGACTCTGTACTTACTGCACCCAGAAGCCTACTGTGGTGAGAAAAGCAGCAGACATCTGGCATTGCTGTCAAAATTTAGTCAAAGTTTTAATAACTGAAATAATAACCAAAATCTTGAATACAAGCATGAATTTTTCAGATTTTCCCAAGTGATTTGGGTTCTTTCCTGATTGCACAGTAAAATAATGGTGGACATCACACATCACATAGGTAATCTTGGCAGGACATTTATGAGTCTCTTTCTTCCACCCCCAATAACATGCAATAATATGTGCCTTATCCTATATACATATTTGCCCTACGTATTGGCCATTTCCAGCTCTCCCATTGGCTCTGCTGTGCGCTCCATTAGCCAGTCAACCACCACTCAAGAATACTTGTGTGCCATTAGCTGGGTGCTGGGTCTGCTCCTCTTCCCCAGCCACTGCCACCTCAGCCACTGTTCCCTGTCAGAATAACTGCCAAAATGGCTGTCTTTCATGATGAAGACACTTCCCCTGCTTGGCTTCTGTGGGTCTAACTTTTCCCTCAGTGGTTGTTGCTAGGCAACCAAGCTTGCTTCTGTCAGTAAAAGGGAAAAGCCAGGATGCCCTTTCCAGGCCTTTGTGGGGAACTCACTGGGGCCAGTCCTGACTAGGGTTGCCAGCTCTAGGTTGGGAAATTCCTGGAGATTTTGTTGTGGAGTCTACGGAAGCCAGGGTTTGGGGAGGGGAGAGGCCTCAGCTGAACAGAATGCCATAGAGTCTTTGGCAATCGCCATGGCAGTCGCTTTCTCCTGTACCTCTGGGAGAAACCTGCCAGCGCCCACGGCGGGGAGGGGGTGTGATCGTCCACGCCATCCCAGGAGCCCGGGAGAAGGGCTCCCAGCCATGGGGTGCTAGAGAGCTCCCCCCCAGCGAGAAAAGCCGGTGGGGGGCTACTCCAAGCCCTGACGGTCCCACCGTGGAGCGTCCCGTATGGGAACAAGATCAGCACATCAGAGCAAGCATTTGGTGATCAAGCGATGCTAGACACAAGTGAGCAATCATTGAAAATGTGAGTTTAAGTACAAACGAGAACAACGAAAAGCATTCGGCTCCCCCAAAAGAAAACGGGGGGGAGGGGACTCTCCCTTGCTAAGAACTGTTTACAGGCAATTCTACAAAAGGGGGGGGTATTATAAAAAGCTACTGGATTAAAATAAAGAGACTGTAAGAGCTTACCACGTTATAAAAGAACTTCCAGAGACTTTGACAAACTTTTGATAAAAGTAAACAACTCTTAAATATGGCGCCGCCGAAGGATTCTAGAGACAAACAAGTGAATGTAAGGCTTCTTCCCGGAAGTTTCAGCCCTGCGAGTTCTGTCCCTAGACAGGACTAAACTGAGGAGCTCCAAAGGCTGTTGTCGGAAGCACTTTGCCCTCTGCTGGAGAAAATTACGGCAATTGACAACAAGCTCGATACACAACAAAAGCAAATGGTTGCAAATATGCAGAAAATCGATAAAATGGAGCAGGAGCTTAAAGAGATTGATACCAACTCAAAAAAGATGGATAAAAAACTGCAGGCACTGGGGGAAAAGTGCCAAATCGAAGAGTCTCGAGTACTACAGCTGCAAATGGAAAGAGCAAGCTATGTCTTGATACTTCAAAGTATCTAGGAAGAGAGAGGAGAGAATCTGAGACAGATCGTTGGCGACGCTTTCGCTCCCATGGCAGAGATGACATCGGATCAACTCCAAAGCGAAATAGATATGATCAATAGATCGTATTCAGAATTTATCAGAAAGAGCAATCTGCCAGGGAAAGTTATAATAAGATTCTCTTGAAGAAAAGTGAGAGACCAACTATTGAAAGCATCTAATGGAGCTTCCTTGAAGATAAAAGACAAAGATATAAGAGTACTGAAGGACGTTCCATTTGAGATAAGGAGGAAAAGAAGGAAATAGTAAGACTTGGCTCTATTTTTCCAAAAAGATGATGTTGCCTACAGATGGTTAACACCCAAGGGCCTAATCTTTAGATATGCAAATGGTAAAGAAAGGATTGACTCTGTTGAAAAGGCTTGTGAGTTTTTGCGTCAACACAGCAGTCCAGCAGGAGAAGGTGCGACTGAAGATGCCAAAGAGAGCGAAGAAGGAGAGGCTGGATCTTCTGAGGAAGACTCTGACTCTAAATTGGGGGGGGGGGCGGGTCCTAAACAAAGCTATTGAGACAGAGAGGGGGGAAAATAGATTGTTAATGTACTCTGGAATATCTAAAAATAAGTTTATTACATATCGTTCTACAGCCTTTTTATGAAACCAGAAAAGTTGATGAAGCATTTAAATGTTTAAATAAATAGATGATCATTTTCAACGAAAGTTAACTTGTGTTTAAGTTTAAAGGTAACTTTGTAAACGTACGTATGATCACCGTCTCATGGGTTTTTAGAGGGTTTCCTTTACTTTCTCCCATAGATGTAGTTCCCCTTTCCTGAATTTTCTGTTTGTAGTTTTTAGAATGTAGATATTAGAAAATGCAATAAAAAACATCCCCTTCAGGGGGTACAAAAAAAAAAGAATGCCATAGAGTCCACCCTCCAAAGCAGTTATTTTCTCCAGGGGGAGAGATAGATCTGTTGTCTGGAGTTCAGTTGTGATACCAGGCAATATCACAGCCAGTGTGGTATAACCGTTAACACTTCAGAGCAGGGTCTGCCAGACCCAGGTTCTTGCTGTGGAAGCTGAGTCAGTGATTTCGGATCAGTCACAGACTTTCAGCCTAAACTACCTCACAGGGTTGTTGTGCAGATCAAAAGGGGGAGAGGAGAATGATGTAAGCTGCTTTGGTTCCCCATTGCAGAGAAAGACTGTACTTTTCCTCCTTTGGAACCATTGTTGCCAATCTCCAGGTGAGGGCTGGAGATCACTCAGAATTACAACTGCTCTTCAGATGGGAGATATCAGTTCCCCTGGAGAAAATGGTGGACTCTGTGTCATTATAGGCTGCTGAGGTAACCACAGCAAATTGATGCTGAGTGCCCAAGGCCGAGGCACCTGCCTAGAGCTCGTTGTATTTAAGTGGACCTTATTCTTAGTAATAAATAATCCCTCTTCCTCAAATGTGACAAAGCTTCATATTACAGTGCACACTCCTTTTTTGCTCTTTTTAGATCTTAGTCATGAACTGCTCTCCTTGGCTGAAGAATTAGTAGTCACTAGAGCTCGTTGTATTTAAGTGGACCTTATTCTTAGTAATAAATAATCCCTCTTCCTCAAATGTGACAAAGCTTCATATTACAGTGCACACTCCTTTTTTGCTCTTTTTAGATCTTAGTCATGAACTGCTCTCCTTGGCTGAAGAATTAGTAGTCAAATCTAGTATTGTATTAAGAACTATGCGGCCTTTCTGGATTACTGCATTAACTTTATTCAGACAACACAGGTAAAAAGCTGTTATATTTTTCTAATAGTTTTTAAAAGTGTTTGTAACAGAATGTGTTTAAAGGTATTGGGGTCCAGGGCATCACCTATTAAATTTAGAGAGTTAATTTTCTAGTAATATCAAAAATGTGTAGATGGTGTAGCTGCCACATTCAAGAAGCACCTAGCAATCAGATTTGCTTTGCACAGAGCAAAAACTATTGGAAGCAGCTAGAGAAGGTGATTGTATCTAACAAAAAGGGCAGAGACTGCTCAACCATTCTGTGTTAACAAAAGATTAATTGAAAGACACCTGCTTTGCAACAGCTCATGAAATATTTATGGTTTTAGGGCTTCACTCAGCAAACATAAGTGTAAAAAAGGCAGAGTACAGAGACAGAAAATGGGGGGGGGGGTAGTGCAAGAATTGCAACCAAGTTTGTGTCTCACTGTACTGACAGGACCTCATCTAGTGCTCAGAATGCACCATATAGGTACTGCCTAGACTGTAGGATTTCCTGATGGTAATGCTCAGTTCCCATTGCTATTACCTCATTTGTATTTATTTCCTCCTTCTTCCCTGGAACTTTTATCTGATGTACATAATTTATTTCGGGTCCCCCCCCTCTTTTGTCTGTACAAGTTGCTCTACCATGGAGTAGCTGGTCTCCTTGGAATGAAAAAAACCCACCACCCTGAAATTCCATAAGGGACTTAGGGAAGACTTCTAAAATAGCTAGATATGCATTCTTTATAATACTTGTGTATGTTGGCCTTTTGTTTTTCTTAATCTTTTTAAGTGCCAAGGTTGCACAATGCCCATTTAACTCCCCCCCCCCCCATTTCACATTGCTTCCACACTTATAATCTGTCTTTCAATGAGACTTTCCAGTAAGGACAAACTGTATGAATTTAGAATACCTGATGTGCATTAGAAATCAGTTTCCCTGTAATGTTTCTCTTGTAGGTATGCAGACTGTGTTATGTTGTTACTTCCTCAGCTGGAAAGTGGACTTCGATTACTTTTCACAACAGTTAATAAATGTCCAAGCAGACTAATCACAGCTGAGGTACTTTTTTGGGGGGGTCACCTTTGTTGGACACTTTTATTTCCAGGTGCATTTACTTAATGGTCCTCTATTTTTTTGCAGGTACTACATAACATTTTTAATAAGTAGGTAATAATTCTGTGTGTCATCAACTTTCATGTATTAATTTTGAGAAGAATAATGGGAAATTTTTATTTACTGCTTTCAGTTTCATTAGTTTGGTTCAGCATGTCTCTTTGTTCATTGTCTTCCGTTACTTATTCCCTTTTCTGTTCAGTTCCATTTTATTTTATTCATGGCATCAGCCAGCTGTCTCATTCCTTTCAGGCACGTAAACGTATTGCTTGTTCCCATGAGTTTATCTTGCAAAGTACATTCTTTCTTTCAGTTCTCCTTGGGCACTACAAGGTCAGGTCCTTTTACAGAACACAAAGGTCCTACAGCTTTTGCAGGAAATCTGTTGCTCTTAGAAAGCAAAGTTGTCCTTACACTTGGCAAAATTGATTTTATTTACATTTCTTATTTGTCTCAACCTCAATACATTGGTTCTAGCGACAAAACACTAGTATATAGAACATGATAAAATACCTGTTCGTTGTTCATATCAGATCAAATATTTCCATTGCTTGCAAGAAGTTCTTGGTTAAGGGTGGATTTTGATGAAGGGCACTTTGTGGAAAGCTGTTGATAACAGGTAACTTTGCAGCTTCAGGAACAAATGAACACCATTTGGTTTCTTAGACCCATGAGACTGGGCATGGCACTTGCAGTGCAATCCTATGCAGATTTATTCAGTTTAAGCTTGTTGATTCTACCAGGAAAGGGGGAAGGAGAGAAGAAAGGAGGAAAGCTCAAAAAGGTAGCCCCATAATGAGTCTTGAATGTGTCCTGACATTTTTCAAGAATGATCTCTTAATCGAGGTGACTGTGCTGGTGAACTTGCAAATGCTGTGACCTGATGTTTTCCTCCAGTTTTCCTCCAGTTTTGGCTACTCCTTGTTTCTCCTGAAAATGAAATAGGACAGGTAGTAATGTCTTTGTGTTCTGTTTTCCAGTCCTCTTCTCTGTACACCACTTTTGATGAGGTAAGTTAAACATGTGCCAATACTTATAGTAGATTACCCTTCTAAAACATTTAATTTAGAGCAAATAATTTGGTTCATTGTGAATAAGTATAAGTAGGTACAATAACTGCAGAGTACGGCTTTTATTTTTCATTTAGTTCATGCAGAAGCACAAGGACTTTAGAGCCATGGTCACAAGTAACCTCTGTTGTCCCAGGTCCCTCTGTTTATAACTTAACATGGAAATAAAGGGACCCAGGTTGCTGCTGTTGTCCTTTACGTCTCCACCTCCAGATTACTATCTGATATGGACTGAAATCATATCAATGACAGTTCCTGGGATTGTAAAATTGTGGAGGGGTGGAACAAGGCTGTCATGTCTAACCTCCCATACAAAGCAGAAACATCACAACATAACATAACATCTTTTCATATCTTTTTGACCGGTCTGTTTTACGATTCTTGTTGGCTACTGGTCAGTCATATGTGTCCCCTTCCCTTGTTTTCTTTCCCCCCTGGCTGGTATTGGATGCTACATTTGGACGTTTAGCTACAACCTGCTCCACAGGGATCGATGATCTCCACTGAGGTCTGATTGGTTGCCATGCCATCTCCTTGTCAATATTCAGGGCCTTAGGTGGCTGCCAGGACTGTTCCGCTTTGATGACATCAGACCTGTCTATGATGATATTTTGGCTTTAGGGAATCTATCTCAGTTTTTATATTGACTGCTAGCATGTCACACAAATCCTTTTGCTGGGATTTATGAGACTGAAAGGAGTTTGCTGCTTTGCAGTCCAGTCTTCTGTGCAGAATGCAAGTGCATTGCAATGAGATTGTTTCATGGTAGGGTGGAAGTAGAGAAGGGAAGAAGGGCATCAGCAGGCCAAGGCTAAAGTCTGTGTAGCAGCCCTGCAGTTTTAGCACTGGTGCAGTGTGATAACAGCAAAAGAATGTTACATCTCCAATGTGATGACATCACATTGTGGATGTCACCGCCTCAAGCCCCGCCTCCAACAGTGACCCGTGGCTACTCCCTCTCCTTCCCCTCCTGTGAGATTTAAAGGGCCCACCGATCAGCTGGACCCTTTAAAACTTGCAGGAGGGGAGGGGGCACAGCAGCTGGCTGCGCACCTGAACTCTTAAACAGCGATGCCACTTGGAACTCAGGCATGCGAGGCCCCCTGCTGCCCAGAGGCATTTAAAGGGATGCTTCTGGGGAGTGGGGTTTGCTCGCCTGAGCTCCATGTAGCACTGCAAATCTTGAATTCGGGGCTCAGAGTGCAGGCCCGCAGCCTGCCACTCCCCCGCAGCATTTAAAGACTTCCTTTAAAGACTTCTGGGGAGATGTGGGGAGGATGCCATGTGGTTGCTCTTTGGGGCGGGGCTTCCCCCAGCCCACCAGGTGGCTGGCGGGTGGGAAGGAGCCCCTCCAAATTGGGAAACCCCCACTAAACCAGGGGAGGGGATCTGGCAACCCTTTGTTTTACAATAAGGCCAGTCACTCATAAACTTCTAATACTTGGCTTCTTTAAACAATTCTTTGGGAACATTTTTATTAATGCAGGATTTGGGTATCATCCACTCCTCAAGTAGTATAATAATGAAGTTCTTAAAATCGTCTGTTTGAAGTAAGCAGTTGTTTGCAATTGGGGTGGATATTTATTGGCAGATACTAGAATCATAAAGTTGGAAGGGACCATACAGACCATCTAGTTCAACCCCCTACCCAATGCAGGACCAGCCTAAAGTATCTCTGACAAATATTCATCCAGCCTTTTCTTGAAAGCTGCCAGTGAAGGGGAGCTTACTACCTCCCTAGGCAACTGTTTCTACCTTTGAACCACTCTGACAGTGAAAAACGTTTTCCTAATATCCAGCCGATACCTTTCTGCATGTAATTTAAACCCATTGCTTTGTGTCCTATCCTCTGCTGCCAACTGAAACAGCTCCTTGCCCTCCTCCAAATGACAGCCTTTCAAATATTTAAAGAGAGCAATCATGTCCCCCCTCAATCTCCTCTTCTCCAAACTAAACATTCCCAAGGCACTTAGCCTTTCCTCGTAGGGCTCAGCCTCCAGACCCCTGATCATCCTCATCACTCTCTTCTGCACCCTCTCGATTTTGCCCACATCCTTTTTGAAGTGAGGCTTCCAGAACTGCACACAGTATTCAAGGTGCGGCCTGACTAAGGCGGTATATAGATGGGCTATGACCTCCTGCGATTTTGATGCTATGGCCCTTTTAATACAACCCAAGACTGAATTAGCCTTTTTTGCCACCACATCACACTGACTGCTCGTATTTAGTTTACAGTCCACTCTTACCCCCAAGATCTCTTTCGCATATACGACCCCCTAGATACGAATCCCCCATCCAGTATTTGTGCTTGACATTTTTGTGGCCCAGATGTAATACTGTGCATTTATCTTTGTTGAATTGCATCCTGTTCGCAACTACCCACTTCTCCAGAGTATTCAGGTCTTGTTGAATTTTAATTTTCTTGGGTGTTTGCTACTTCTCCCAATTTGGTATCATCAGCAAATTTAATGAGTAGCTCTTCTACCCCTTCATCCAGATCATTGATAAAAATATTGAAAAGTACTGGACCCAAAACCGAGCCCTGCGGTACCCCATTGGACACCTCCCTCCAATCTGATGAAATGCCATTGACCACCACTCTTTGGGTATGGTCCTCTAACCAGTTCCCTATCCACCGAACCCAGTCCACAGTCTTCCAGTTTTCCCATCAGAATGTCATGGGGAGCCTTATCAAAAGGCCACATTAAAAATACTCAGCATGTTTTAAAATGGAAATATTAGATATGGTGATTGCAGAAACAACAGTGATGATTAAGGTGGTATTGGTTTTAAAGTAGTTCAATTCCCCCCCCCAAGAAACGATTTTAATTTTCCATAATAAGTAAATGTGAAATATTTACAGTATCTGTAAACACTGAATAATTAGAAGTAATGGGCTCTCCAAATGCCAGTTGTGGGACAGATTTTTTAAAAACATTATTTATAGCCCGCTTTTCTCATTAAGACTCAAGGCAGCTTAAATAGTGTAGGTCAATACATTCAGTACTTCGCAGTTTATCATGCTCCAGGAACGGTGAGCTTCTCTGCTACTCCTCCCTATTACTACACTTCAGCGAGCAAGACTGAATAAACAAGGTATTTTTCCAGATATCAGTCTTAGGGTATTTAAAATTTGATCATGATATTTAGAGCATAATAGCTCTACATTGTGAGGTTGCAATGCAGAAACAGAGCCTGCACTTGAGGAAACGGAGCAGGAGGTGCAGCCACTAGGTGGGGCCTCTAAATCGAAATGCAGGTAGAGAATGCTATGTGTATGACTCCATCTGGCAGGAGGTACTCCTAAGAGTCATTGGTGGCAGCCAGTGGTTTGTAAATAGCACCCCAGGGGAGCACAGGGAAGAGGCATATCACCAAGCAGAGACTTGGCCCAGCCGCAGAGTTCTTCTGACCTTCTGGAGAGCCAATCAAAAGGCTGACTGTTGCCCCTCCCATTCTGCTTCTGCAAGCAAGGACAGAGGCAGTCTATTGCAACTTTACAATTTACAGCTATCATGCTCCAGGGATTATGAGCTTCCCTAGCGCCTTATCCTCTATCATCAGAAACTTTTCTGCAAGTAGGAGTTTGTTTTTGCGGAAAGCAGGCAAATTAATGTATTCTCTCACTTGGGTTTTTTCACAATTGTTCATTATTATTTTTTCCATTGTACTTGTTTTAAGGTACAGGCTGTTATGTTATAAAGTTCTGAATTGTTGACCCTGTGTAACATTGTACACAGCTCTAAAAATAAATGGGGGGGAGGAATCATTGGCCATCAAGTTGGAAATAATAAGGCAATAATGTAACAAAGGTTCCTGTGTCCACTTGAAACATGAAGAATGCCCTAACACTGCAGTTTGTTTTTATAGACTACAGTCTGAAAAGGGGGCACATGAATGGAGAAAAAACCCATGCATCGTCAGGTTTTTGTTCACTGTTCTCACCACAGCAGTTTACACTATCCCATTAGAGATAAGCCACTATTTAGTTTAACAAAGAGCTTGTCTCTTGTGGTGAGGATATTCCTGCAGTAAAAACAACAAGCAAAGCTCTGGTTTGCACACCAGATTTTCTTCCCTAGCGTATGTCAGTTTTTAAAAATTTTAACCTTAAACTTCTTGAGTCATCATCACAGCAAATAAAATCTGATGGTTGCCAGTAAACATACTTCTGTCCTCTTCACACATTTTTGTAGGAATTTCTTTGGGATTTCTTGAACCATCAAGAAGGTCCACGGATTAGAGATCATCTGAGCCATGGAGAAATCAGCTTAAATAATTTCCCAAAAGAAATAGCAAATTCGTTGCTTTCTTTTTCTGTTACACTTCTGGACAGATTTTCCAAGGATAAGATTGCTGCCATTAAGGTAGGAATTGGTTTTGAGTCAACAGATAACATTTATTAAAGTTATGCTTGTTTAGTTTCAGGTGCAGATCATTCTATATTTAGGACATATGTTATTCCCCCAGTAATATGTATCTCTATATTATATAGATTTTTTTGTGGATCCAAAACTTCTAACATGTATTTCCACATGCAAATCAGAACTTTTCAGATTCTCTGTTCCTATTGGAGCCACGTGCATGCCTGGATAAGCTTCTTCTGAAGGTCAGGCTCATGAGAGAAGGTCAGCTCATGGGCAGCATGTAATGCAACATTCAGAGTTGCAACCAGAATAGAAAATCAGCAGACCCCCTGTACACATGTAGAAATGTCTTAGGTGCATGCATAGGGCTTCTTGGATTCTGGCCAATATCCCATTTACTATAACTGCTTATGGGATGACCTGTTCTTAGCGTTAGAGACATAACTGATTTCTTTGTTCTGTTTTCCTAATTTATTACTTGACTGTTTTCAGACAGATCTTCACAGCTAGTTGATTATTCATTGACTATCTTATTACTTCTTCAAAACATATTGCTGTACTCCACTAGAAAGTATGTCCCTTTAATACACTACTATATTTGATGCAGAAAATTTAATATGAAAAAGTATGTTGCAAATGTTTATCTGTGTTAGTAAATTCCATTAAAATAAATGGCAGTAGGTTATAGTTTACATGTTTATTAGTGTGCATATTTTGGTAATAATCATGCCTAATTAATTCTCTTTCAAATCATTTAGTGCCACTTGCAGGACTAATACTGTGACCTCGATGGTGCAGGCTAGCCTACTCTAATCAGATCTCAGAAGTTAAGGAGGGCCAGCATTGGTTAGTACTTGGATGGGAGACCACCAAAGAAGTCCATTGTTGCTCTGCAGAGGCATGCAGACCACCTCTGTTAGTCTCTTGCCTTGAAAACCATATGGGGTCCCCATAAATCAGCTGTAATTTGACAGCACTTTACAGACACAGCATTTGAATGTTTACTAAAGGAGGATTTAATATATTAAAAATAGAGATAAGAATTTTGAAGGAAATACCGTGGAAGATGAGACAGAAAAGGAAGGAATATACATGCCTAAATACTAAACTTGCAGCGAATTCAATCTCTTTTAGATGGTTAGTACCAGAAGGGATCCTTTTCACTTTTGAAGGTCAGAGATTTAGGATCGACTCTTCCTTAAAGACTTTATGGAATGACATGGGAGTAAACTGAGTGGTGGAGAGATGAAGAAAGTGAAGGTTAAGACTGGAATTCCATCAGAGAAAGGAGATGGCTCAGCACAGGATTATTCAACAGCATCAGATGAAGAACTTGAACTTGAACCAGTAGAGAAACTGAATCTGGAATCGAAATCTCAAAGGAAGATAAAAAGAAATAGGTAAGGTAGTAATAAAGGACGTGTGTAATGGATGGAACAACAATAAACATATTTTCAACTAAGAAACTAAATGCAGATGTTACCTGTTTACAAGAAACACATTTAAGACGGAAAGATCAACACTACTTGTCATGTAAGAAACTTAGACTTACTTTTTCATCTTCAGATGAAGTTAAAAAGTATTTATACTTTTGTACTGTAGTATTTATTGTAGCATTTATAAAGGAAGAACTGAAACCTATTTTGATTTTTTCAGCAGAGGATGGGAGATTGTTGTTGGTTGAAATTACTATTGGGGACAAAAAGATTTTATTAGTAATTATACATGCCCCAAATGACCATCAAGGACATTTTTTTGACCTTTTAAAAAAATGTTTTAGCAAGATTCGACTATACGGACATATATGCCTGCTGGAAGATTTCAACACAGTCTTTGGTTATGACCTGGATAGGAAGACTAATAAGAAGATTAAAGCCTCCAAAGGACTTCTTCCAAGATCCTTTTTATAACTTGTTGAAGAATATAAACTAGTTGATGCTTGGAGAGTAAGAGATTATACCTTCTATACCTGGAAGAGACTATACCTTCTATTCTGACAGACACAAATCCTGATCTAGAATTGGTATGTGTTGGACTTCAGTAAGCTTCTTACAGGATATTAAAGAAGTTGATATTTGGCCCAGATCATACGCAGACCATAACCCTTTACTGGTGAAAATAAAGGATGCCCCAAAAATAAGGTGGAGATTAAATGTTCAACTGTTGAAAAATGTACAATTTGTGGAGTATGTTAAAAAGGAAATGAAGTTGTACTTTCAGCAAAACATGAACATGGAAATGTCAATGAGAACTGTCTGGGATGCAAGTAAAGCCTGTTTTATAGTATTGGCAATTAGATTTGTGGCTAGACGAAGACGAGAAAAGAGAAAACACTACCAAGATCTCTTGGATGCATTGAAGAAAAATGAAGGCAACTTGAAAATAGACACTTCAAATGAACATTTAAAAGCTAAAATTAAAGTCCTTCAACACCAGCTTAATTTGTTGCTTTCAAGAAGAAATGGCTAAAAATGTGAAATTTGCTAAACAGAACTATTTTGAACACGCAAATAAATCAGGGTGATGGCTAGCCTAAAAGCTTAGAAAGGAAAGAGAAAAGAGATTGATCCATTCTTTATATGATGGGGATAAGAAGGAGATATTTCAGAAAGAGGAACTAAAGAAAATTGTGCAATCTTTTTATACTCAGCTATATAAAGTAAAGGGTAAAGGTTCCCTTGCTCGAAAGCCAGTCGAATCCGACTCTAGGGTTGCGGTGCTCACCTCCGTTTCAAAGCCGAATAGCCAGCACTGTCCGAAGACATTTCCGTGGTCATGTGGCCGGCATGACTAAACACCAAGGCGCACTGAACGCTGTTACCTTCCCACCGAAGTGGTACCTATTTATCTACTTGCAGTTTCTTGCTTTCGAACTGCTAGGTTGGCAGGAGCTGGAACTAGAGACGGGAGCTCACTCCGTCATGCGGCACACTCGGGTCTCGAACTGCTGAACTACCGACCTTCCACAGCCTGCAGTTCAGCGTCTTAACCACTTGAGCCACCGCAGCTCCGCATCTTCAGGGTTAGGCATGGTTAATACTAGGACGGGAGGCCACCAAGGGTTGCCATACAGAGGCAGAAAATGGCAAACCACCTCCGTTTGTCCCTTGCCATGAAAACTCTATGGGGTCGCGATAAGTCAGCCGCGTCATGACCGCCTTTTCCACCATCATGCCAGTGGTGGCTGTCACTGCATCCTCCCGCAGCAAAGTCTACATTTGAATGTGATGTGTGCACGCTAGAATGGAGGGAGCGCACAGAGAGGCTACAAGGCTTTTCCTTGCCACTCTTGAGAGCTAGAAACCTGGCCTTTTCTCGTACTGTGAAAGAGGCCAACTCTATGCAGCCGTTCTGTCAAGTGGCCGATGGGGAAGGGAAGGGAAAATGGATCCAAAAGAAGTTAAGAATTATTGACCTATATCCTTGCTCAACTGTGATTATAAAATTTTTGCATCTCTTTGCCACAAGATTGCAAAAAGTACTATCAGAACTTATGCATCAAGACCAAACCGGATTTCTACCGAAAAGGCAATTAAGGAACAATGTTAGAATGGTTCTAAATATATTAGAATACTACGAAGCTCATCCTGAGAAATAGATGATCCTAGTATTTTTGGATGCGGAAAAAGCTTTTGATAATGTTGGTTGGAAATTTCTTATTGAACAGATGAAGGAAATGAAATTTGGGCCTGATTTTATAAGAGTAGCTGAAGCCACTTATACTAAACAGAATGCAAGGATAGCTGTAAATGATGACTTTACAAATATTATTTGGATTGAGAAAGGGACAAGACAAGGATGCCCTTTGTTGCCACTTCTATTTATTCTAACTTTGGAAGTGTTGACAAGAGCTGTTAGGAAAGACACTGCAATCAAAGGCGCCTCAGTTAAGGGTCACAAGTATAAGTTACAAGCATTTGCAGATGATCTAGTATTTATTTTGGAAGACCCAGCAGACTCTATTGAATATTTGTTGAATAACATTAAACAGTATGGAGAAATAGCTGGGATGAAAATAAATTACCAAAAGACAAAGGATATAACAAAGAATATGACTTCTAATTAAAAAATGGAGTTAATTAATCTAACAGGATTTCAGTTGGAGAAAACAAATATTTGGGAATAAGTTTAACTCCAAAGTGTAGTTCTTTGGTGAAGGATAATTATCTGAAATTGCTTCAAAAAGTTAAGACAGATCTAGAAAGATGGAAAGATCTTCATTTATCCCTGATGGGAAGGACTGAAGCTGTGAAAATGAATATATTGCCACGAATGATTTTTTTATACCAGACTATCCCTGTCTTTGTTAATCGCTCTTTTTTTTTTAAGATATGAATAAACAAATATCTAAATTTGGCAAGGGAAAAAACCAAGAATTAAGTTGAGAGCATTACAAGACTTTAAAGAAAATGTGGGTTTTGCTCTACCGGATTGGAAGACATATTATAGAGCGGCCTGCCTGGTATGGATGAGAGACTGGATTTTGTTGTAAGACTTTTAGCCTTAGAGGGACATGATTTAAAGTTAGGGTGACGTGCTTTTGTTTGGTATGGGAAAGTGGTTGGACAAAAATACTTTAAAAACCATCTGAAATCCCTATTAACAACTTGGAGAAAAATCCTACCTTTGGTATACTCTAAAATTCCAAGATGGGTCTCACCTCTTGAAGCCTTTTCACAACCAAGTACAATCTCCTCAAGTATTTTCTTATATATTATAATTCTTTTTTAAAACATAGGAATATGCATCGCTGAGACCCCTGGTGAGCTGTGCAAATAGCTATTGTTCCCAGTTTCATCCAATAGCCCTACTTAAGAAACAGGTATGTACCTCTTTCATTACTGTTGTTTGTTAATGAGAGTGTTCTGTGAAGCCTTTAAAACTTGGGTTGTAAGCCAGCCAAAGGAACATACATTTACATTGCTCTCTTGACTCTCACATTGATCCATGTCACCCAAAACAGAAAATTTCTATCTTTGCCTTTCTGTAACAGTCACCTGCATGCACCAAAAAAGTATCCTGAGGTCAGGTGACTTTCATGGAGAGTATGGGATGTGGCACCTAGGCTGTACATGGAATCTCAGGGAAAAAATTCCCTTCGTATGAGAAGAAGGGAAAGTGGCTGGATCCAGCTCACAGACTTCAGCACATGACATTTTGAAAAAATCCCAAGAGCTCTGTGGTTAAAAATTTGTATATTTCCTAAGAAGGTTTAATTAACAATGGAATAATATCATTTGTGACTGCAGGATACTAAGATCCAACAAAAATATAAAATCGTGTGGTAACAAATACTCTAATACCTAATTTAATGAACATAAGCTTTCACTTATTTCTGTATGGCTTATTTTTCACTTTCTAGGTACTGCAGTGCGTGGAAAGCATTAATTTGTGGTCTGATCTTCCTGTAGTGCCAAATGAACAAGAAATGACAGGGTAAGGTCTTTTTATCAGCCTTTTGAGCATGTGGCTAGGTAATGATTTCAGTAAATTTTATTTATTTATGTTAAACATTTCTAGTGATGGCCATGAGCATAGATGGCTTTAAACAGGGGAGAGACAGATTCATGGAAGAAAGAGAGGTCCATCAATGGCTACTAGCCATGGTAAGGGAACCTGACATAATTAGAGACTTTACTTAAGAGCCATATTGTAGAGTTACTAGTAAGGGGATTAATATATAGAAGTTCTTGAAGGGCAAGGAGTTTTATTTGTATGTATATATTTAACTATTTATCCCAACCTTCCTATCCTGAGGGCTTGGAGCAAATCATAGAGGGAGACATTTTCCCAAACTACATGAAAAACTGGCATATAGCAATCTTTAGAGTCTTTGTAGCTCACCGCCTACAAAAACACAGAGCTAGAAAACCATATATCAGTTCGAAATTCCTGCTTTTCAAATCCATCCTCTCCCACCCCAGCAGATCAGACAATCCTGGGGCAACCTTACGTTTTTAGGAGGGGCAAGACTGGACCTCTCTAAGCCTTTATGAGAGCACCACGGGAAAAGACAAACCTCATCGGGAAGAGCTGATGAATTTTGACAAGGGTGTTTTGGAAATAGGTAGAACAAGTAGAAAAAGCAACAAGAACACTTCTTATTTTGTTACAGGTGCTTATTGCGATTGCAGTGGGGCAGATTTGAAGAGAATGGAAGGAGCAAGCCTGTGCTAATTTTAAAAAAATCTCTTGAGAATGTTCTAGGACTTCCACATAGGAAACAGAGAACAACTACACAAATAACCCATGCAAGGGAAATAGATTCCATGATGTGTTGTATGATTATAAATACTATAAGGCATTTTAAAAGTTGGTACTATAGAATTGGAGCTGCGGTGGCTCAAGTGGTTAAGACGCTGAACTGCAGGCTGTGGAAGGTCAGTAGTTCAGTGGTTCAAGACCCGGGTGCCGCAAGACAGGGTGAGCTCCTGTCTCTAGTTCCAGCTCCTGCCAACCTAGCAGTTCGAAAGCAAGAAATTGCAAGTAGATAAATAGGGACCACTTCGGTGGGAAGGTAACAGCGTTCCGTGCGCCTTGGTGTTTAGTCATGCCGGCCACATGACCACGGAAACGTCTTCGGACAGCGCTGGCTCTCTTTGTAACTCTTTTGGCCATTTCTGGAATGAAAGATTTCATTTCTGTTCAATCTTCACAAGAATATTAATATCAATCTATCGATAGCTATCTATCTAGCGGTCTGTCTAGACACACACACAGTTAAGGCTAAAGTTGTTTACCTCCCAGCTTCTTGTGTCTTTATATGAACCCAAGGAGATGTGCCTCTAATCTGGTGGTGATCATTGTCACTTGAAGTAACAGAGAAAAAACTATCCTTTCATTCCCTTTTTATAATAGATTGTGGCTGCTCTAGTTGCAGGCTGCTTATAGTACACTCAGATTGAAGATGTTTAGATTTTGTTTACTGTAATTTAAAGAACACTGAAGAAAGACAAGATCATTGTCACTTGAAGTAACAGAGAAAAACCAATCCATTTAGTCCCTTTTTATAATAGATTGTGGCTGCCCTAGTTGCAGGCTGCTTATAGCACACTCAGATTGAAAATGTTTAGATTTTGTTTACTGTAATTTAAAGAACACTGAAGAAAGACAAGATATTTTTTGCCTTCAGGTTAATGATTGAACTCCTCAGCAAGCCTGTTCGCATCCTTTTCTGTCCACGGTCTGTTCTAGAAGTCACCGTGGTGCTTCGTCAAATAGATCTACAGTGCCACCAAGTGTCATGTCAAGTAATTTCTACTTGTGAAGCCAGATATAAGCAATGGATAAACAAGTCACTGCGATCACGCCAGAGGCAGAATTACCTGCGCCTGAAGAGGAGGTGGGAATTTTTAAAAAAACTATTTTTAAAAAAGAAATGAGAATTAACTTTACCTTGAAACTTATTTTGGGGTGTGGTTACATGGCAAGCTTACTGCAATTTGTTCCCGCTGTAGATTTGATTGGGAATATTTTTTTCGGGTTGGGATGACCGCACATCTCTCCCTGAATTACTTGCATCGCGCAATGAGGTTCCGGGCACCGTTCAGATAGCCGTGCCGCCACTTGGGCAGCATAGCTTGTTTTTTGTTTTGTTTTTAAATTGGCTTTGTGCATGCGCATATACACATGGCTGAATCGCCACTCCCACTGGAACTCGCTGTACTCCCTTGTTCTTGCAGGTCCCCCCCCCAACAGCAAACAAAATTAACCAGTGATATACAACTGAGTACTGGAGTCTATATGTGCCCTTGAACGTTTATACATTGAATTTATTCAGCACAGGATTGCTCATGCGCACAACGACGGAAGCTTGTAAAAAAAAATTGCAAGAAGGACATTCAGATGACCTAATAATGATAATTGCGAGAGATGGCTGTCCAGATCAGCAAAATCATGGATTCAAAAGAAAACTCGCTAGGGAACCGGGAGGATTGCGCGAGTGAGCCCACTGCAGTGCAGGAGACGGATGTAGCTGTCTGATCTGCAATTTTAAATGTGAGAGGGAACAGCGGTGAAACCCGATCAAAATGACCGTGTGACCACGGCCTTTGTGTAATCAGTTTGTTAAAGAAATCCGATATACTGCATAAAACTATATACATATATATGTGTTGACTCACTCTGTGTAATCCGCCTTGAGTCCCAGTGAGAAAGATGGGCTATAAGTAATGTAAATAAATAAATAAATGGACCATAGCTCTGGTCTGATTGCTGCTGAAAGTACCTCCCTGATCTAAGCCTGAAGAGCCAGCTGTATTCTCTTAGATCAGCATTCCATCCCTGTGTGGCTTGGCTTATTCTGTGCTAAAATGTTAACTTCTGTTATGAGGTAAATTTTGTACCTCAAATTTTTACAGATACATAAATGTCCAATTTTAAGACTTCACTAGAAAGGTTACAGGCTGTGTGTGAGTACCAAATTCCACCTTTGTAGCTTCTGTGAAAGTAGCTTCACTGTCCTGGTATAGTTTTGAGGAGGAAGTGTATAAGTGTCCAGTTTTTTAGGCATGTATTCAGATTCATTAGAAAATATCCTTTCAGTGCCCCGTTCCAGTTGACTAAATCTTGCAACCCAAGTACCCAATATGTATGTAGATAGATATGCTGACCATGTTTATAAGATTTAAATCATTTTATTTTCCCCGCCATGTTACATATTCACAAAGAGCTAATTAGAAAATTTCTACCTATTGTTCTGTTTTAAATAGTTTCTGCTTTGTTTATGTTATTTCTTGTTAAGTTACACAGTTGATCCATGCTGTAGATTTCTCGTTAATTCTTTAAAATATTTTGCTGTAGTTGCTAATAATTTCATAATATCTAGGAAAATCTGCAGCAGCATCTTTATTGCTAAGTGAATTCCATTCCAAAACAGAACAAAGCTACATATTTCCATATTACATGTGTCAGGTTTTTTCCAACGTTGCCACAGCTTTAACTGAGAACTGAAAAGCTAATGATAGACATGTTCCATTGTGTAGTTTTCTCTGTTGATTAGAACTTAAAATTATTTATATCACTAGCTCCGGTAGAGTTAATCAAAAGGATACTTTTAAATGAGAAGTGAAGGCAAATTTAAGAGTTTTTTTAAAAAACAAAATTCGAGATTAAAATAAATTCAGTTGTGAAGTGTTATTATTTTAGGGTTCCCAAATCCCCCCGGGGGGCGGAATTCCCCCCGGTTTTGAGCCCCGATTCCTGCTCCCGTGGAATCGGGGCCCGGGGAAAACCCCATCCCCGCGCGTGCGTCACCCGGAAGTGACGTTGCACGCTGGGGGCGGGGCCACGCCAATTGAGGGGAAAACAAAGAGTTTTCCCCTCAAATGGCGTGGCCCCGCCCAGCATGTGACGTCACTTCTGGTGACGCTCAGGAAGCGCGCAAGCACGCGCACGTCCCCGGCCAGCTCCCGGAGCGACAGGACGCTCCCCCGCCGGTAAGATTTTTCTATTTGGCAACCCTATATTATTTGTTGCCACTTCATACTGTTTTGGTCTCCTACCTTTTATGTTTTAAGAAGGAGATTTTTCTGCTCCCTTAAAGCTGTATTGCTGGAGCGCTCTCTCTGTCTTTGTGGCACCGTTGTTGGCAAGAGCCCAATGCATGTGCTCCATATGAAGATTCCGTTAAAAGGAATTGGGGGGGTATGAGGTGAAATGTTACATATCACATTATCAGACTGCAATTCACATTTAAACTTTGATTTGGATTTTGTGACTTTTAGGAGTTTTGTCTAGTGTAAAATGAATTTGAATACTAAAACCATGCCTGGTAAAGAACTTGAGTCCCAGTACTTTCAGTAGGATTTTAGTGTGTTCTAACTATCTTGCAATTGTACTCCTTCCATCCTGTCAACAGTGAATAATCTTGGCCAAGATCCAAACCATTGAGTACAATGTTCCATTTGCATACAAGAGTTCTTCAGTTCCTCTGCTGTAATTGCCTCAAAAGGGTTCCGTCCCATATCAGGAAGGGATCTTCAGAACAGCCCTCCTTAAGGTATAAGGGGCTGCCATCACTATTACCCTGCTCCCCATGTGCGTGTGAAAGTGTTCTCAACTTACACATGATGGGGATTTGATCCTGGCTATTAAAAGTCTGAGAGACAATTTACACCATTCTTGTCATAAGTGAATGTGTGGAATTAAGCTTTCATTTCTTCTTTCAACAGCTGGGAGAATTGAGTAGACTGTCTTCTTTAGGAGGCATATGTATATGTGGCATGGGCTGGAGTCTGGTATATGTGGCATGAGCTGGAGCCTGTCGTAACACTTGCTTCCTCTTAGTGGGAAATAAGTGTTCCCAGCTGCTGCCTGTCAAGGGGGTGCCAGATGGAACAGAGAGAGAGAGAGAGAGAATATTCTGAGGAGTGAAAAAGCCAGTCCTTGGCTGTCTTCTCAACAGGAGTGCTCATTTAAAGGGATAGGTGAAAGTGTGCCATTTCAGCCAGTGGCAAAAGCATCCAGTTACCAATGGATGCTTTTGCCACTGTTAGTGTATTCATTCACGTGGGCAATAAGAAGTAATGGACAGTGTCTTGCCACTACCGAGAAACAAGCAACGGCTGGAGATGAGTTCTGAATGTCCAGACATCACTGTCCTTATTGACCTTTGGAGCACAGCCAGTAAAGTGCTTGACTCCATTAACTCTGTCAGCTGAAGGTAGATAAAGACTTCAGAAGAGATACCCGACTGTTACACCAGTACAGTATCACAAGCCATGAGGTACTGTTAGCATTGAAGGTCACCCAGGCTGGCAGACTTGTTTATAGAATCATAGAATGTTAGAGTTGGAAGGGACCTTGCAGGTCATCTAGTCCAACCCCCTGCACTCTGCAGGAGCATAGCCGAAAGATGGCCCTACAACATACCCGAAAGATGGTCGTCCAGCCTCTGCTTGAAAACGTCCAGCGAAGGAGCATCCACCACCTCCCGAGGCAGACTGTTCCACTGCTCAACCACTCTTACAGTTAGGAAGTTTTTCCTGATATTTAGCCGGTAACGACTCCCTTGTAATGACCCTGGATAACAATATAAGCTTAATGAATGTGGCTGAAGTGACACCAAAGTTTTTAGCTGACAAACAAAAACGCTCTCCTAGCAGGATCCTGTGAGCCAGGGTTATAGACTGGTGCAGTTGGCTTAAACGGATTAACTTTTTTTCCTATTTAGATATATAGCTTGATTTTCTTTCTAAGGACTTCTTAATTTTTTTCCTTCTAGCATTAAATGTCTGTCTCCAGTCTTGCAACTGATTTTAATCCTGATCACTCTGGAGCTGATCAATATTCATACTGTGTGTGACAAGAATCCTACTGAGTATCAGCAGTACTTAAAGTGAGTGTGTATTAAAGCGTGATAACTAGTGAATGAAAGCAGTTTCTCCATTAATTTGCAATTCTTTACATTCTCTTATAACAAATATGATGAAATAGTGGAAGATATTCTTCTGTACACTTCTCACTGTATGTTAACTAGGTGCCACTTATGTCACTGTGTACTCATAGCTGTAGTTTGAGTTTTCCAAGGGGCTTACTATGTATTTATTTATTACCCTTTTATCCTGCCCTTCTTCCCCTAAGGTCCAAAACTGGTGTACTCTCTAACCCCACCCCAGTTTTATCCTCATAGCAAATGTGATAGACACCCAGTTTCAGGGCTGAGCATGGACTTGGACATGCATCTCTTTGGTCTCAGTCCAGTATTCATAGAATCATAGTATCAAAGAGTTGGAAGCAATGCTCCCTCTAAGCTGTGGAGTCTTGTGAGCAAAAGTTCTACTTTGTGAGCTACTGCCATTAAGTTGTGAGTGAGCGATTTGGCTACTGCATAAATTAGTTTGCTCTGGAGCCATCCTTCCTGAGCTGAGACAAAAATGCATGAGCCGTAGGCTAAAAAACTGTGAGCTAGCTCACACTAACTCAGTTTAGAGGCAGGGGTCTTTTGGGGCCGGAGTGTGCCGGAGCGCTGCTCCGGGAGCCCAGGAGCTGGCACAAATGGTGGTGGCAGCAAGCCCCGCCCCCAGCTCTCTGTGCTGAGGTCCGTCTCTGGCTTCCTGGGGCCCGCGCTGGAGCGCTGCCACCCCAGGGAGATCAGAGGAGGCCCGTCGGCGGTTGCCTGGGGCTCGCACCGGAGCGCTGCCGCCCCAGGAAGGCCAGAGGAGGCCCGTCGCTGGCTTCCTGGGGCCCGTGCTGGAGTGCTGCGGCCCCAGGGAGGCCAGAGGGGTAAGTGAGGGATCTGCAGGGGGTGGCGGAAGCTTGATTGGGGGGGTGGGAGAGCCTCCCCTCCCCCATCTCTTTGCCTTCTTTCTTTCCCTCCTTTCCTTCCCCTTTACTTTTCTTTCCCTTCTTTTCTTTCTCTCTTTTCCTTCTTCTTTCCTTCTCTCTATTTCCCTCTTTCCGTCCTTCTTTCCTTCTCTTTATTTGACTCTTTCCTTCCTTCGTTCCTTCTCTCTACTCTCTTTCTCTCTCTTTTCTTCCTTCTTTCCTCCTTCTGTGGCCCAACTCTAGTGAGAAGGGGTTTAAACTTTAAACCCCTTCTCTCTTCGCTTCCCCGCCTCCCAGGGAAGGGAAGGGGAGGCTTTTGACGATGCCTTCCCCCCCTTTTGCTTCCCCTTCTGACATCACTTCTGGTGATGTCAGGGGGCGTTGTGTATGCTAATGAGCTATTATGCTAATAGCCTAGTATCTCATTAGCATATCAAACTACTTCACCACACTGGCTTTCACTGAGGTTCTTTCTTCATCTGTCAAAGCTGTGAAAAGACTGTCCTTCCAGAAATTTGAAAAGCCAGGAAAACCAGCTGTTAAAAAACTTTCCTGGGAAATTGTTCTTAAGAATTATTTTTATCAAATATTATTCTCATAATCTTTTCCTGCTCCTCACAGGTTTCTAAAGATGATCTTGCAGTATACTGAGAACTTAGTTACCTACACAAACCCGGAGAAGAATAAATGGGAGGAAACTTTGGAGCTTACACATAAAACTTTGATAAAAATCAGAGCTTTCTTAGAGAAACAGCAAATGCTCATGCAATTAGCTAAGTAAAGAACACTATCCCCATCAAACAGTATTACCTACGTGCAATGGACATTTCTCCTCCTTTTTTCTGAAGAGCATGCCTAACAAGACCTGCATATATGTGAATGGATTGCATAGGTTTGGTACTGGTGAGGTTTTCCCCATCCCATTGCAATGTATAACCAGATTTTGGTAGGAAATATATAACCTGTGATCAGAGGATCATCAAGAACCAGCCTGCATAGCTCTTTTTCACTATCAAGAAATTGTGTGAAATGCATTTTATTTTATTTTGTAATATCTATATTCTTACTTGGAAGTATTTTATAAGTTAAAAGCAATCAAGTTCTCTGTTCACAATTACATTGCTTTGTACTTCTTTTCATCTTGTCTTTGGCGTGGTAATCTCCCACGACTCCCATCAGAGGCTGACATGCCATCCATTGTTCCTCAAAAACAGCAGTGCTTTTAAGCACCCTTGATTTACATTGTTCTGTTGAACTTAATAGGTCTTGCTTCCAATCCTAAATGATGTTTGTGGAAGTAAATTTAATCAAGATCAGTTGGACTTACCTATGGTCTTGTAGTTAGAAGTGTGCGTTAGCTGTCCCACTGCTTTCAATAGCCGTTCATATTTCAAATTCAGCTCTTTAATTTCTGTGGTTTGGTTACAGGAAGTGAAGTTTCAAATGTATAAGTGAATTATTACAGTCATATGAAGATTCTTGGGACGCTGATATGTCCTGTTTTATATTTGAAGTCAGTCTGTCAAATTTCTGGACTAGGACCGATTTCCCGCAAGCAGCTGCACCGCCCTCGCTCTTCCCTTCCCACGATTGTATTTGTCAATTTCCCACTACTTGCTGTGCGGCTGCATTTTGAGCTGCAGCATCCCCTGATTTCCCCCGCATCTTCTTGATCTCAAAAAACAAGGATCTAGACGATATGTGGGAAATTGGGGGATGCTGTGGGTCAAAATGCGGCCACGCAGCAAGTAGTGGGAAATTGACAAATACAATCTGGGGAAAGGGAAGAGTGAGGGCGGCGCAGCTGCTTGTGGGAAATCAGTCTAGGTTTGAGGCATACCCAAATGCTATTTACTTATTTATTAATCATTTTTATACCCCACCCTCCACGTAATGCAGGCTCAGGGTAAACTAATGGTACATGGTGTACAATATAGCAGTAAGCTCAGATTGTGAATTGGTTAAAGTCTTAGTCAAGGACTAGGGAAAACTACGTTGAAATCCCCACTCAGCCGTAAAGCTTACGGGTTGATTTTTGGACCATTTTCTTTCTCTCAGATGGACAGATGGGTCTTAAAAGAAGAAGAAGAAGAAGAGAGGAAGAGATTGGATTTATACCCCACCCTTCACTACCCAAGGGAGTCTCAGAGCAGCTTATAAACTCCTTTCCCTTCCCCTCACCACAACAGACACCCTGTGAGGTAGGTGGAGCTGAGAGATCTCTGACAGAAACTGCTCTTTTTCAAGAACAGTTGTGCCAGAACTATGGCTTGCCCAGGGTCATCCAACAGGTGCAAGTGGAGAAGTGGGGAATCAAACCCGGTTCTCCCAGATTAGAGTTACATACTTAACTACTACACCAAACTGGTGTAAGGTACATATACATCAAAGTTTAAAGGCACAAGTTAGTAATCCAGACTTTACATGTTTGCTCTGGGAAACAGTGGTATACTATTGCATATAGTGTGTCTTCCTTAGTCATTAGTGGTCTGTTTTTTGAAAAGCAAGAATCTTGCTTTACAAATTTGATCCAGTAGAATTTGGATGTGGAAAATGCAGGTTCAAATTGTCATGAAGCAAACTGGACGATCTTGCTGCATCTTTCAGCTTTCCCTGCTTTAATAAAGTCTTTGTGAATTCTTTGGAGAGAGCAGAAAAGAACAAGTCCCATTTATTATACATAACAGTAGTTGGGAGATCCCAGCCTTACTCTTAGTTGCCCTGTGAGTTTCTGTGATCCATTATGCATAAATACAACACTGCTAAGATGACAAATTATATAATGTCATATTCAAACCTGTTTTTCTTCTGAATGGGAAACTATGAGTATCCTGAATGGATAAGAGAAGTTTTCTGGAATGCAACAGGAACGATGGGTAGTCATCAGTTGTACTGAACTTCAGGGGGTCTAGCATTCCCACACAAATGGGACACTTGTGGTTAGAGCCATTCTGTTTTGTCTGTCTGCAGTTTATTCTTGCCCTAATCTAAAGCACCATTCCCTTGTTCTCCCTGTCATCTAAGAGAGTATGCTAAATTCTTGATCTACAAGGTTTCTGCAACCTCATCCTAAATATATTCATGCAGAACTAAGTTCCTCTGAATTCAGGTGGATTTACTTCGTAGTAAGTATGCTTGTGATAGAAGATTATTACAACTCAAAACTGTTATTAGGCTTGCTTTAATCTTGTCTGGGGTCAGCTATAGGATTGGGCCATGTGAGTTGGCCTCTATAGGGGAAAAGACCCTAACTTTTGCAGTCAGGTTTAGTCAACCTATTGTAGTACCACACTAATCAATGATACTCAATGTCACTTATTTGCAGAGCACCTTATATAATATAACTATAGCAGAAGGGGCTATAGCTCAATGTTAAAACATCTTTTTCACATGCAGAATGTTCCCATGTTCAGTCCCTGGCATCTCAGGTTGAAGGGAGGATTGAGAACTAGGTGATGTGAGACTTTGGAGAGCTGCCACCAGTCAGGGTAGACAGTACTGATCTGACTGGATGAATGGCATATTCATCTGTGCAGCCTTTAAAAATAAATTAGACCTTGCCTGCAGGTTCACAGTCTAAAATGGACAAGTTAAGGAGGAAGGAGGGGCGAAGAGTAATTAGCTTACTAACTTTTCTTTAGAAGCGGTTTAGACCAGCCCATGTATGAAAGATCCATGCATAGGAGAACCTTCATGTACAGAACGAATACATTCGATGATATAGACAAATAATGGGAGAAGAATGTCGCTCAGCCTCCCATGCCTGGTTTGTGGGCTTCCTTAAAGCCTCTAGCTGGTCACTGTCAATAACAAGATACTTATTTCCAGTGAGGATTTTATGTTCATCATTCCATCAGTCTTCACACCCATCTGCTTGGGTAGCCTGCATTCCCATAGTTTACTTGCAGTAATGTGTGACTTTTTCTCATTTTCACCTAATTTTAACTACACACACAGAAACTCTGATATTTTGTTTTTAGAAATTTGTTACTGACCAAAGAAAAGGATCAGCTGAGCATTTTTAAGCATTTATTGACAAAATCTGAAGAATTCTACTTTGTTGTTATTCATATTAGATTAAGCTGCAGTTCACAGAAATAAACACACAGGGGCAATGTTCCATAATTTAGTAATTTGTTTACAGGCTCTGCTTTCTTTTGTCTGAATGGTGACAAATTCTTCTGTAAATTCTCCAGCCTTTACTGATGCTTTTGTTTTTGTTATTGATAATTTTAAATGGCATGCCACAATGTTCTGTTTCTTGCTCTAGTTCCAAAAGAAATACAGTGGTGGCTGCATGATTAATAGTCAAGTTGTCCCCTCACACATATCAGGCTATCACTGGCAGAAATGTTTCATTTTATATAGTACTGCCTGGCATCCATATGTCTAAATCAGATTGTTTAAATAAACTCTCCATAAAAATGTTTAACTGCTAATAATCCAGTAGTTCTCAAACTTCTTTAGCTTCTCCCATATAGCCCCTGAAAATTAGATCTGCCATGACTACACTCCAGCCTAATCACTTAATTGGCTATACATGTTTAGTGCTTGCTTCCTTTGTGTCACACTCCCTTACAAATATACATCTATGACACTCCTCTTCATCCCCTTCCCCCTACTCTGAATTTATCCTTTATTCATCTCCAATATGAAGTAACTGGGACCTCAACATTGAGAGATGCAGAATAATAAACATCTCTTTCAACAATTACAGTGGTTGGGGTGCAGCATACATTTCTGAAAAGTTCAGGGTTTTGGTATACAAAATTATTTCAGTCTTTTCTCCTCTCACGTCTTGTGATATCCCCCAATCTGTGCTCTAACTAGAGATGTGAAGGCCTGGAAAAATTTGGAAAAAACCCTCCCCCCCCCTTTTTTCCTGAAGCCTTTTTTGTGTTTTTTTCCCGAAAAATTGAAAAAAAGAAAAGGAAAGGGGGGGAAATTGATTATGGAACATTTTATTTTAACATGATGAATAAAATATTTTAAGACAAGGTGTTCAAATATTTTCCAAATCACTTCTAAAAAATATGTATGGTCTAATTTCTGTGCACTGAGGACAAGCAAGTCCTAGGTTACAAACTGAACTCTCCAATGCAAGAACAAGATGCATATCTTCCTTTAGGAGGTGCTATTGTCACAAGAAAAGAAAAAGGTTTCAGTTTTGTTTTTGCATGAGGGTGGGTATACTGGCACTCAGGCTTCACTAGGCCTCAAAGTATTGGGAAAAAAAATACAGAGCAACAAAAAGGACCTGAAAGTATATACTTAATTTAAAAATGTAAGAGTTTTCATTTATCTGATTCCAGAAAACTGAATCATATAGCTACATTAGTTTACCTTTATAACCTTTGTTTAAATAATAATTTAATTACTACTAATCTGTTTCTTTACTCCCCCCCCCCCCCCACAATAATTTTTTGGATACACTATATTTTAATATGCTAGTTGTGATAATTTCATTCCAAGTAAAATTGTCCAGAGTCATAATATTTTATGTTCCTAAAGTAACAGAATGACTTTCAATCTGGAAAAGAAAAAAGAAGTGCTAATGTAGCATTTTTAAAATGTTTCCAAAAATTTCCAAGGTTTTTTCCGGTAAAAAAATAAATAAATTGGTTTTTTCCCAAGCTTCAAAATTTCCAGAATTTTTACATCTCTAGCTCTAAACAATAAGAGAAGCAAAGACCAAAAGTAGAAAATAAGTTCATTTGTAAATGTTCCGTGAGGAATTTTTCTGAAGCAAATTCTGTGGGCATAACAATGACCAAATTGAGGATGATAAGTACTATATTTTATACTCACCTACATAACCATACACATACAGAGACAAAGTTGCAGAATAAACGCCTTTTCTTAATGTTGCAGAATAAATGTAGAAGATTATTTAGTTGCCTATCAAGGAGTCCTAGTATAGATTCATGTAGAGTGAAAATATTTGTAAAATGCCTTTTTTCTTGTTGGAGCACAATCCACAGATCATTTGCATCAGCTTCGCTAAGATGAATGGGAACTGTGCAGGAGCATAGAAGTACTGTTCTGGAGGTGATAAACTGGTGTCTGTTTGAGGACAGAGATCCTGGGTGTCTGCATTACTTACCACCTGCTTTAGTCATCCATGGCATGTGTTTTGCTGCATTAAAGCAGAGCAAACACAAATACCTAGGGGAACAGCAATACAAA